CCAGCCCTCAGGCTTTTCTGGATCAAGGCTGAGATGGCTCAGCTCTGGGACACATTTTTTTGATTCAAGGTCTAGGCCAACTTTTTTTTTTTTTCCTGCAACTGTACAAAGCCACCAGGAAAGAGAAACCCATCCCCTTCAAAGGGGCTAGCAGGATCACAGTGCCCAACTATTCTAAGTGTCACAGAGCTTTCACGAAGTAGCTCCAAGAATCTGCAGTTCCTAACCCAGTAACAAAGCTCATTTGTCACAGGGTTTCCTTTGAAAAGTTGAGTCTAAGGACTACGCAGCTGAGTAATTTGTGCACCTAAAAGTTTCAACTCTGTAGGAAAATTGGTTGTTAGGCTTTTTTTTTTTTTTTTTTTTTGATACTAGGGATTAAACCCAGGGGTGCTTAACCAGTGAGCCACATCCCCAGGGTCTCACTGAGTAGCTGAGGCTGGCTTTAAACTGGCAATACTCCAGGCTCCTGAGCCACAGGGATTCCAGACGTGCACCCTGCACCAAACTGGCCTCTTTTTTTTTTTTAAGAGAGAGGGTCTCACTACGTTGCCCAGGCTGATCCCAAACCGGTGATTCAGGTACCCTCCTGCCCCTCAGCCACCTGAGTAGCTGGACTACAGCTACATGCCACCACTCCCGGCTGACCACCAGGTCTTTTATGGTACATAGGATATTGCTTCCAGGTGTGATAAGTTTTCTTTTGTTCAGATATTTGTGAATCACTAAGAATCAATAATAAAGGAAGTGCAAGCTACTCCGTAAACACATGAAGTAATGTCACAGAAACCCTGTGGGTCTCTCAGTGTCCTGACAAGAATAGGTATTTTCTACCCTTTTCCTGCTGCCACCCTGACTGCGTCATTTATGGAGATAGAATTCACATACTATAAAATTCACTGTGTGTGTGTGTGTGTGTGTGCGTGTGTGTGTTACTGGGGACTGACCTCGGGGCACTCTACCACTGAGCTTCGTTCCCACCCCTTTTTATTTTTTATTTGAAATGATGAAGCTCCTGAGTTGTAGGACACTCACTGGCCATCTTTTCATGTCTGCAGGACAGATCTACTGTCCTGCATAGCAGGACAAACCAAACAAGATCCATGCAATGGAATGTAATTTGGCCACAAGAAGGAATGAGGGGGTGACATGTGCTACAGCATGGATGAAACTGGAAAACACGCTGAGTCGTCCAAGTGTCGCGTCCAAGTGTTGTATGGCTCCATTTACACAAAAGATCTAGAGCAATCTACAGAACTGTGAAAATGCTCCAAAATTAGATAGGGGCTGGGGATGGAACTCAGTGGTAGAGGGCTGGGTTCCATCCCAGAACTAGAGGAAAAAGAAATCACTTATCTAATTCACAAATCTGTGAATTTACTAACTCTGCAAAATTAAACAATCTTTATTTATTTATTTGGGTTCTGAGGATTTAACCCAAGTCCTTATTTTTTTTTTTTTTTTAATTTTGAGATGGAGTCTCACTAAGTTGCTGAGGTTGGCCTGGAAGTTGCAGGCCTCCTGCCTCAGCCTCCCAAGTCACTGGGATTACACATGTGCCCCAACATACCCAGCAATTATATGCTTTTAAAAAGGTGATTTTTTTTTTCTTTTCTTTTCTTTTGAGACAGGGTCTCACCATGTTGCCTAGGCTGGTCAAGAACTCATGGGATCAAGGGAATTTTTTAGCTGGAACAGTGGTGCCCACCTGTCATCCCAGTGACTGGGGAGGCTAGGGTAGGAGGATTGCAAGTTTGAGGCCAACCTCAGTAAACTAGCAAGACCCTGTCTCAAAAAATAAAAAGGGTTGGGGTGTAGCTCAGTGGCAGTGTATCCTGGGCTCACTCCCCCTCAAAAAAGGTGAATTTTACAGTGTGTGAACTCTATCCCCATAAAGCCGTTATTTTAAAAACCATTTCTGGGGGGGGGGGACAGATAAGATCAGGATGATTGGCATGTGGCAGTGCCGAATACCCATTTTCCCACTTTCATGGATGCTTGAAAAGTTTTAGAAAGAAAAGCTAGAATGCACGGGTGTGCTGTCCTCCCACGGAGCTGGACACTTGATAAAGACTCAAAGCCAGGGAAACTTGACAGTTGCCCCTTCTCCCCAGCTCTGCATCCTGGGTGGTGAATCTGGGAGGGGAAGGCAGGCAGGAGAAGGCCTGTGCACCTCGGCGCCTGCAGAGGGGCCAGCCCCTACCTGATTCAGGCTCAAGGTGAGTCTCAGGCTCACACTCCCCCAGCAGCCACAGCCACAGGCTTACCACAGTACCTTCCATCAGGGGGAAAGGGTGGGATTCTCCACCCAGCCCGCCGTCCAGGAGGAGAACAGAAAAGAGGATCACAACTGCACTCATTTTTGCCATCTGCACACCATCAGGGAGAAGACAGTCTCCTGAGAATCCTTCAGACTCTAGGACCTTAAACTCCAGGATACTGCGGAACCCACGGCCTGTGAGGTAACACTCCAGAGGTGATGGGGGAGGGGGCCCAAGTGTGTGGAGAGGGGGGGCGTTGGGCGCCTCAAGGAGCCTCTCTGCTCACTCCTTCGTTATCTGATGTCCTCCAGTCCTGCACGTGCTGCAGCCTGAAGGCAGCTGGATATTAACAAAACTCTGAAGATGCAAGTGACAAATTGGAAGCAGCTTAAGTGGCCAGAAAAATCATGTGACTGATCAAGACATCACACTAAAGGGCTGGGGATGTAGCTCAATGGTTGAGAACTTGCCTGCCAAGCATGCATGAGGTCCTGGGTTCCATCTCCGGCATTGTAAAAAAATAAAAATAAGAAGTCATCACTAACAAAGTGTTGTTACTTATGGTTGCTATAGTTTGGACCTGCAATGTCCCTCAAAGACCCATGTGTTAAAGGATTGGGTCACCAGCCTGTGGCACTATTGGGAGGTAGTGAAACCTTGGGGAGATAGGGCTTAAAGGAAGGAAGTCACTGGGGCCATGCAATATTGGGACAACAGTCACTTCCTTCCTTCCTATTTGCTTTCCAGCCTCCACAAGGTGAGCAGCCTCCTCTGCTATATGCTCCTGCCGTGATGTACCAAAAGCAACAGGGCCAAGTGACCAAGAACTGAAACATTTGAAACAATGAGCTGAAAAAAAAAAAAAAAACTTTTCCTCTTATTAACATGATTATCTCAGATATTTTGGCACAGTGAGGGAAAGCTGACTGTTACAATGTTATTAAATTATAACACTGAAACCTGCATTGACTCACTAATATATTTCTCATAAATACTATTTCCCCTATTATGTTTTATAAGTATTAGACTATTTTCAAAGGAAAAAAATTTTGTGTGGTAGAATCTTTAACTACAGTTTTTCCCTCTATTTTTTTTCCTGCATTTTGTGGTGGGTCCCATAAATTACATAGCCATGGCTGGGATGGAAGAAATCTTACAGAGGCAAAAAGTTACACAAAAGTTATAGAGTAGAATCCTAGAGAGTTTAGTTATATTAGTTTTCTACCACTGCCATAACAAAGTATTCCAAAATGGGTAACTTAAACAAAAGAATTTATCATCTCACAGTCCTGGAGGCTGACATCTGAGATCACTGTGTTGGCAGGGTTGGTTCCTTCTGAGTGCTGTGAAGGAAGGACTTGGCCTGCAGATGACTGTCCCCTCCCTGTGTTTTCACATCTCCTTCCCTTTACATATACCTGTGTTTTAATTTACTCCTACGAGGACACCAGCATATTAAATTAGAGCCCACCCTAATGTCCTTGGTATAACAAAATTACCTCTATAGTGACCCTATCTCCAAATATGCTCAAATTCTGAGGTCCTGAGGATTAGGACTTCAACATCTAAATTTGGGGGAACATAACTTAATCTATGACATGGCAGTAGTATAAGTTTTATTTCTCTAAAATAAAATCTTTGAAAAACAAAATATAGAACAAAAAAAGTATAAAAAAGAACACATAAGTCAGGCACAACTATAATCCCAGTGGCCCAGGAGGCTGAGGCAGGAGGATCACGAGTTCAAAGCCAGCCTCAGCAAAAGTAGGCCCTTAGCAACTCAGTGAGATCCTATCTCTAAATAAAATACAAAATAGGGCTGGGGACATAGCTCAGTGGTTGAGTGCCCCTGAGTTCAACCCCCCCCCCAAAAAAAAAACCCACATAAAACAACATACAACCCACACTCTTAAAATAACCAGAAGCAGAAGATGTCCAATCTCAAATAGAAAAATAACTGCTAACCTGGGTTCCAACTCTTTCACTTTTGATTGCTGGTCTCTGCAAAAAGAAAACACAGCAGCCCGAGATGGCCTAAAATCAGTTGGGCACTGTGCACAGCCTGTAGTACCAGAGACTTGGGAGGCTGAGACAAGAGGACTGCGAGTTTGAGGCCAACCTGGGTGACTTGGCCAGACCCTGTCTCAAAATAAAAAACTTTATATAAAGTTCAAGCTCATGTCTAATGGAAAAGGTATATGTTGAGACAAATAATTACAGATCAGTCTGGTAAATGAGTTTAGGACGCATATTATCTTGCAAGGTTGCAGCAGTTGACCCCAGCACAGCTCCGCAACTTTGGACAAATTATACAAGTACTATGACACTCCTCGGTTACCTCACCTGCAAAATGAAACCAACAACACAACCACGTGGTAGAACTGTTATGAGGATCTAATATAAAATCCATACATTCTTAGAAGCGCTCTGCAGACACATACCAAGCGCTCGACAAACGCCAATGTCAAATTACCATGAAAGTGTAATTTTTTTTTTTTTTTTTTTACAAGGAATGGGATCCCTCTCCGTGTTTAATAAGGAAATTCTTTGGATGAAACACCCAGAGCTGGCCTCCTTGGGGAAGGTGCGCGCACCAAGAGCGTGGCCGAGGTGCTGGGGCACCGGGAAAGCGTCTTCTGGGACAGGCCAACTCGCCGCCGGCCTCGGGGACCCGCAGACCTGCCGGGGTACCCTTTAAGAACGGAGCCATGACGTCACTCCCGACGCAGCGCAGCCTACCTTGGCAACGCCCCGCCGTTCTTCCGGACGGCCTCGATTGGCCGACCGGTCTCCGGAGGCCACGCCCTCCTCCCCCGCTGCGGGCCCTGGCGCCCGACGTCAAGCGGGCCGGGTGGGAGTTCTGATTGGCCGCGGGCCGCCCTCCTGAAAGCCCCGCGGGGCTCGCGTAGGCTGCGCGTTTAGGGGGGAGGGGCGCGGCATCGCGTCGGGAGTCGCAGCTGTCCCAGTCCGCCCGCCCGCCCGCTGGTCCCTCCTGCAACCCTCCTGCTGGGCAGGGCCAGCCCTGCCCGGCCATGGAGTCCTACGACATCATCGCCAACCAGCCCGTGGTCATCGACAACGTGAGGCCCAGCAGCCGGGGGGAGGGTGGGTGTCCCGCCCCCGGGGGTGCTGGCGGCGGCGCGGGGAGGGACCCCAGCCAGTCTCGGCCCGTTCCCAGGTTCGCTGCCCTGCAGGGCCGCTCAGTTCCAAGGCCTGGGTGAAAAGGCCACCTGGCCCTTTTTGCCCTGGCCTTGGACCAGCATCCCGGTCGCGAAGCAGAGCCCCCTTGGGGAACCCAGGAAGTCCGAGACAGCTGGAGCGACAGCCAGGTGCCCATCGGGTGCACCTGTGCATCAGGCCCGTGGACGCATCCCGGACCCTGCTCGGTTGAGAGTAGAATCATTGGTCAAGTTTGGGCCCCGGCCCCTTTTGCTCATCCTTTCGCCCTGGCTCTGGCCACCTGAGAAGGTGGGCTGGCATTTGCCCTTTTGCACACTTCTGGCCTCATCTTTTGGAGTGGTTTGACCTAGTGATGTTTAAAACACTTACCAAGAGGACTGCACCCCGTAGCAAAAAATGCAAGTTACTCTCCACCAGCCACATATCTACCATCACCTGGATGGTCTCTTGGCGGCTTTGACCCTCTCCCCTTAAGTACTCCTGTGTAGGGCAGAAATTCCACAGCCTGTGGAACAGTACAGAGTTCAAGGCCACTCTTCTCAACACTGAGATGTAGGTTGGGGTCATTGTTTGGAAGCCTCAGGAGAAAGATGATGTCTGGCTTCCTACAGCCTTGTCCTTCAGCACTGGGGCTCACTCAGGCTTGCTTTTCAGGAAGATTTCTGGCCTTAGAGCCTGACATGGGGAGAAGAGAAGGGCTGGGGTCTGTGCAAGTGCCTCTAGCTGATGCTTCTGGTGTGCAGGCCTTGTAGTTTATAATAATGACTCTCCTCTGCTCTTCCTGGGTTCTGTCTCTGTTCCACATGACCCAGGTGGGGTCCCTGAATGGCCGCCTTTTTTGGAGTACCCATGTGGGCTTGCCTGAGTCATAGCAGGCAGCGAACACTGAGACTAGAATTGGAATTGGGGACGTGCTTCAGACCAGCTACTTCCCTTCTTGGTGGGCAAATAATTCACATAATTTATCAACAAACTTATGAGTTCCAAGGGCAACCACTTGGCCCCTCTGGTTGTCCAGCCCCTCCTCTATAACTGGGGGATGTCTATTTCTACGCTGCCAACCCAGAGGGCTGTGGTGGAGATGGGTGGGAAGAGGTGTTGAAAAGATTCTGGCATGGTTACTAGATGCTAGGTTCATTTTGAGATCTTAAGTCCAACTTCCAGGCTGGAGCAGTGCCTGGACCAAGTTCTCCTGGGAATCTCATGGGAAGCCACTTGAGGAAAAGCACCAGTCCTTTTGTGCACCCAGTCATCTTCCCTGGCAGGCCCTGTCTGCCCCTTTTCTGCTGGGGAAGAGAAAAGGGAGCTGTTGGGAAAAACTGCCCTAAGAGTTTGCTTCTAGATGTCTTTTGGGAGGAACCAGCCAGAGAGCTTACAGAGAAGGATGCATTGCCTAGTTTCCCCGAGCTTTGCTCAATTGACCTTTTGGTCTGGATCATTGTCATTCATGACTGTGGTTTGTGCACTGTAGGATGTTTAGCAGTATCCCTGGCTTTCCCACCTCCTTCGGAAACCATACACTGCCAGATGTTCTGACATGGGGATACAAAATCACCCCCAGTTTTGAACCACTGGTGTATTGTAAATGTTCCTGTTTTCTCGGCAGGAACGGTGGTCTCCTCCCTGGCTTCTGTTGGTGGGACAGCCAGCTCTCCACACCTGAAGGTGAATGTCAGAAGCTAAACCTTATTTTTCCTTGCAGGGTTCAGGAGTGATCAAGGCTGGCTTCGCTGGAGATCAGATTCCAAAATACTGTTTCCCAAACTAGTAAGTGTTGCTGGGGCAGCAGCTCTTCCTCTTCTGTGTGCTTCCTGGGAGACCGCCAGCCCTGGGTCATGGCTCTCTTCTTTGAGGACAACTCTTGCCCGTTTGCAAGGGAAAACACCAGATTTGGGAGGTTAACAACATCAAGAGAGCTCTGAAGGGACAGGGCCTTGGGTTCCCCTTCCTCTCTGGGGGCTCTCATCTTTGTCTCCCTGAGCCATTGTGGAAGAGAGGCAGCCAGCATTGCCCTGGGGACAGGGTGTGGCTGTGGCAGCAGGAATAAAAGGGAGCTCTCTCCTAGGGGACAGCCAAACTAAAGCAGTAGAAAGAGTCAGCAGGCCCTTCCTCCCTGAAGTGTTTTGTGGTTTTTATATCTTTTAGTGCTCGGGTTGAACCCAGGGCCTCAGGAATGCTAAGCTCCTTCCAGGATCCTTACCTGTGTTCCCCTGGCAATGTGTTCTTCAGGGCTTGTTTATCTTCAGATCCTAGGAAATGTTTATTTTTGCTTTTGATTTTGTTTTTGAGCCAAGGTCTTGCTGAGTTGCTTAGGACCTTGCTAAATTGCTGAGGCTGACCTTGAACTTGTGATCCTCCTGCCTCCCAAGTCACTGGGATTAAACTATGACACCTGGCCTAGGAAATGTTTTGTTTCAGTCAAGAGAGGCCTTTCCCAGTACAGTGCTGGGGACATCCATAGGACACAGGGGTCTTTCCCTAGGTGGTGCTAGACCATCCCTGGAGGGATGCCATCCCAGAGGGCACCTAGAGCGCGTGGCCCCTCTAGCCCATCAGGGACGTTTCCCTCCACAGAATTCTGGAGGCTTCGGAACTAGTGACCTAAAGGCCAGGACAGAGCAGGATCCTAAAGCCCCCAAAGTCACAGGCTACACCAAGAACCCCAGGCCCTCGCCAGGAACCCTGCGGGCTTTAGCTTTCCTGCTGGCACTTGTGGGCGTGATGAAAGGTTCCTGTTGGTGCCAGGAAACTTGGGTCACATTTTAGAGCTGTAGCTCATCCAGCAGTAACTCTTAGTTTCCAAGAGCTGAACCTCAGTTCCAGAAGCTCAGGCAGTAGGAAGGGGCCATCAAAGGAGTGAGAGATGCCCAAGGGAGCCACCACCCAGCTTTCTGGGACCATCTTCACTCAGTCTGTAGAAAGTGATGACAGCCCTGCCCCCTGAAGTCAACAACGTGGGCTGAGAGACGTCCCTGCCGAAGGCTGACCCTCTGCTGTGGCTGGTCCATAAAGGGATCCTGGCGTTCCGGCACTCAGCTGTCTCCAGGAGGGAGACCCTCTACAGTCCCACAGCCCAAGGCCCCAGTTTCCAGTCTTGTGTCCTGTGGCCACATCTGGGTACTCTGGAGCTTTGGCGCTGGACTTTAGTTTTCCTGGACACAGCAGTTGGCCCTGCCCACTCACTCATTCCATGTGTACTTGCAGTGTTGGGCGGCCAAAGCACATGCGAGTGATGGCTGGAGCCCTGGAGGGAGACCTCTTCATCGGACCAAAAGCAGAGGTGACCTGTGGGGCCTGCCTTTCCCTGGGTTTAGGTCCTCTCTCACAGGAGTGCTGGGACCCTTTGGGCTCTAGCTGTGAAGTGCTGTGTGTGTACCTCCCTTCTGTGAGATGTGGGGTGGTGGCGTCTCTTCTGGGGGATATGTTTAGACCTCCTCATATCCTGACTTTTGGAAGCTATTTGGAAACTACAGAGGAAATATTGATTATTAAAAAGTGACTTCAGAATTAGCATTTCCCTGACCAGGGCCACGGGAGCCACCTTTTACACTCTAGCCTGGGAAAACCACCTAGGGACCGCACAGCCACCACATCACAGCCCAGACAGATCTCAGGAGGAGCCAGCCAGGGGTGTGGAAAGAAGAGCAAGCCCATCTTGGGCAGGTGCCATGTAGGCAGCTGGGGACACGGTGTGAGGCTCTGGGGAGTGCGGGCATGGTTCTGGAGAAGATGATGTCGGTAGGAGCCACAGTTATGGGTGAGAGAAGCTCAGTGGTGCTCAGTGAGAACAGGTGTCTCTGAGGGGATGTCACAGAGCAGATGGAGGCAGCGTGTCTGGCCGGGAGCTCAGGGCTCCTGTAAGTGGGCCAGGATCCTGGAGGAGCAGTGGGCACCAGTGACCACAAGGGGGCGGTGTGCTGATGGGAGTGGGGCAGGTGGCAGCAGACAGGGCAGAGCAGATGGGGAATGTGTGGGCAGTGAGTGTGGGGGAAGGGGCAACATGGGTTGGAGGGGGCAGGTGGTCATTTTCTCAGGTCCTCAGCCAGTTGAAGCTCACTGAATTCTGAGCCAAGATGCTGTTGGACAGATGAGCATATTCCTCGTCCAGAACCTGCCACAAAGCAGGGGACAGCCAGTGGGCACGGTGGTTCCATGGAAGGCAGAGGAAGCAGGCAGCTTCCAGGGAGACCGGAAGCAGCTGCTGGGGAAGAGCCTGGTGCCACCTCCTGTCTTTCCGCCCACTTCCCCCAGGAGCACCGGGGGCTGCTGGCCATCCGCTACCCCATGGAGCACGGCGTGGTGCGGGACTGGAATGACATGGAGCGCATCTGGCAGTACGTCTACTCCAAGGACCAGCTGCAGACCTTCTCTGAGGAGGTGTGGTGGCTGGCCCTTGCCCCAGGCTCCCAGTGTTCCCTGCTTCCTGGGCCCTGTCCCTCTGCTTCCTTTCTGGTCAGGCCTTCCCCCTTCCTGCCTGCATGTTGGTAGCGTTGCTGGCGCGTCACTGTGTCTGTGTGTGCCTGCTCGGCCAGGGGCAGCCAGGCAGAATTTTCCAGAGAGCGCCAGATCTTGGGAGAGTAACTGCCCGAAGATAACAGGATGGAGCCCTCAAAAAGAATAGGAGGCTGCAGCCGCCTGCGCCTGCGCTTGAAGCAGGGATCTAACCATCTGGACGGGAACCCTGGGGCCTGGCCTGTGGACCTCTGCATGCCACCACTCTCCCATCTCTCGCAGCACCCTGTTCTTCTAACGGAGGCCCCACTCAACCCCAGTAAGAACCGGGAGAAGGCGGCGGAGGTGTTCTTTGAGACCTTCAATGTGCCGGCCCTGTTTATCTCCATGCAGGCCGTGCTCAGCCTGTGAGTGCCCCTGGGTCCCCTCCTCCCGTGGCCACCCTCCTGCTTGCAGTGGCCAGGGGTCTGACTTCCTCGAAGGAACAACCCCTTGCCGCCTCTGATGACTGTTCCTTTAGCGAGTCCTTTGTGCCACTCTTTCAGACTAGACAATACAGATGTCCCAAGGTCTCTCCCAGGGGTGAGGAGGTCCCCATGCCTCAGTTGCTGAGGTGAGGGGATGCTGACCTGGTAACAGGTACGCAACAGGACGCACGACAGGAGTGGTTTTGGACTCTGGGGACGGGGTCACCCATGCTGTCCCCATCTATGAGGGCTTTGCCATGCCTCACTCCATCATGCGGGTGGACATTGCTGGCCGTGACGTTTCCCGCTATCTCCGGCTGCTTCTGCGCAAGGAAGGAGCCGACTTTCATACCTCAGCTGAGTTTGAGGTTGTCCGGACTATCAAAGAGGTGATGAGGGGTAGGGGGACAGCCTAGGGAGGGGACATGGGACCTAAGTACAAGGTCAAGCCCTGGGCTGCAGGTGTCCCGGTACAGCCTTCTGAGTCTTGTGTCCCTGCCTCTGCAGCGTGCCTGCTACCTGTCCATCAACCCCCAGAAGGACGAGGCTCTGGAGACAGAGAAGGTGCAGTACACCTTGCCGGATGGCAGCACGCTGGATGTAAGTGGCCAAGTGTGGTACTGGGTGGCCGCCAAGGCCGGCCTGGAAGAAGGGAAGACTGGCTTCTCTGGGGCCTGTCTGCCCAACCCTTTCTGCTCCAAAGGTGGGGCCCGCACGCTTCCGGGCCCCCGAGCTGCTGTTCCAGCCGGACCTGGTGGGGGATGAGAGTGAGGGGCTTCACGAGGTGCTGGCCTTTGCCATCCACAAGTCGGACATGGACCTTCGCCGGACCCTGTTCGCCAACATTGTGCTCTCAGGAGGCTCAACACTCTTCAAAGGTACTGTGGTAGGTGGCACAGCACTGATGGGAGCAAGACCCGAGCCCAGGGGTGGCTGGACCCCCTTGCCCCAGAGCCCCAAGGCACCGCTGTTGCCATTTGGGGCAATAGATTAAATTAAATCTATTTACCTGGTGACTAGATGACATATTTATGAGGTCAAAAATGTACCTGTGGAAAGGACTACAGAAAGGGGCGGTGGCAGCTGGGGGGCCCAAAGCCTGGACAGGGAGCCAGTGGCAAGGAGGGTGGACCTGGGCCCCAGGCTCAGCAGTCCTGTGTTCACAGGCTTCGGTGACCGATTACTGAGTGAAGTGAAGAAGCTTGCCCCGAAGGACGTAAAAATCAAGGTGAGGCTGTGGAGACGTCCTTGGGCACAGGCTTGGGACTGCCTTGACCTGGGGAGGAAGAGTGCAGGCCACCTCCCCACTCGCTCATGTCGGGCCTGCCTGACTTCCCCCTCCCCTGTCCCCCACCTCACACTCTTGTCGACTGGCCTGGGCTGTGAGAGGAAGGATGGCTGCCGGGTGGGGCCTGGCAGTTACGTAGCTTCTTGCTCCCCTAGATCTCGGCCCCTCAGGAACGGCTGTACTCCACGTGGATTGGGTGAGGCAGGGCCCCACGGGAAGTTCTGGGAAGGGTCCGCTCTGCCCTGGCCCAGGCCAGGTGGAGGTGGGGGGATTGGAGCTCTGAGTGCCCAGAGAGGGTGACTGGCCCAGTCCACAGATCCACAAGAACATCATCCCTGCGTCCTCACAGGGGCTCCATCCTGGCCTCACTGGACACTTTTAAGAAGATGTGGGTGTCCAAAAAGGAGTATGAAGAGGACGGCTCCCGTGCAATCCATCGCAAAACCTTCTGATGCCCCAGGAGGGCAGGGCGTGTGGAAGAACTGGAGGAGAACGGGAGGGGAGCCAGAGCCCTGGGCTCTTTTGGTCTGGGCTCACGTTCTAGGCTTAGGGTCCCCTGCATGCCCTGAACCCCGAGGCAGGGGGGCAGCGTCGCCTCCTGCAGCCCTTCCCTACACACACAATAACATTTAGCTGCATGGTGGGAGTCTCGGGCTGGAACAGAGCAGCTGAGGAGCCAGCACTGGGTGGTTCTGGGTGCCCCCCTTGCTGGGGCCATTTAGGCCCGGGGTTCCTTGCTCTGACTCTTGCCGCTGCTTCCCCTAGTGCCAGTGCCAGACACCCAGATGCCCCATGTCCTCTGACAGGCTCCCATGCAGGGCCAGAGTGCTAGAATGCCTGGGAAGCAGGCTGAAGGGGGGACAGCCAGCAGCCCTTGGGTGCAGTGAGGCACAGCAATGTGTCTCCTGCCACCTCCTCTCCCCGACCCAATGGAGCAGTCCAAACCCTCGCACGCTCTGCCCTCGTCCTCCTGGGCACTGCCTGGTGCAGGGCTGAGAAGCAGGCAGTCTTCCATCCCCAGCAGGCAGCTGTGGCCCAGGGTCAGAGCCGTCAGAGCTACGGGCAGCCACGGCTCATGTTTGCCACACTGTCCCCTTGTAAGCACCTCACTGATTGCTGCTCCCTCTCCTTGGCCCCAGTGCCCTGGACAGGAAAGAGTTAATGGCCTCACTTGTCAAGGGAAAGCCACTTAATCAGGAGTCAGACCCAAAGTGGGTGGGGGACATTTCCTTCTCTCATCCCCCTTAAGAAAGGTCTTCATGGTGGCCAGGGCCCCACCTCCCTCTCCCCAGATCTGTACAATAATTTAACACAGTTGCCTGGAAAAAAACTTTTATAAAATCATTATAGTAATAATTATGGCTAAGGCCCAGCGTGTGGCTTTGTTCTTGTGGCTGAGTGCTGCTGTTTGCTCACCATCCCTGGGGACTTGCAGAGACCAGAGGGACTACACAGGCACTGCTGTGGCCCAGAAGCCCAAGGGTTCCCATGGTTGGCAGGGCAATGGTGCAGGGAGGCCCCAGGAGGCTGCGCCCTCACCTCCAGCAGGATTCTCAGGCTCATTGCCTCCTCACTCACCATGATCCACCAGAGGAGACAGAGAACAGGGCTCCCAGCCCTTGACAGGGTCCTGTGCCTCGCATCCTCTCCTGCTCTGAGCACCTGTGTGTGCCTTTCAGAGGGACTGGACCTCAGCTCAGGCAGTTGAGGACTGGCAGGAGTGCCGAGCTGGGCTGCACAGGAGGAGACTGAGAGGCAACCTGGAGGCGCGCAGGCAGGCAGTGGGGCCGACAGATGGAGGTCTGCTCTCTGATAAGTCCATGAGCACCTGCGGCACGTCTGAGGGTGCCAAGTGTTTGAGGCCAACAGTAAACAAAGATTTATCCTCCCAACACACGTACAGGCCTTGGAGGCCAAAAGGACAGCCCAACAGGTGGGTCAGACTTATTTGCGAGGGCCCAGGGTGAGCCAGGCAATGGGAATGTTCCAGGCAGAGCCAAAAGCTGAGATGCCTGGGGCCGTGGGGCTGGAGGTGACTCAGCAGGAAGGGGTAAGGGGTCTGCTGTGGCTCCAGTATGACATGAACTGGAGAGGCGGTTGGACTGGCATGTGAAGGGCTGGAAAGGGTCGTTGGCCATGTCCTGGGTGCTAGCCATGGAGGATGTTGACCAGAGCATTTGAGGTTGGTGACTGAGAGGGCCACCGAACTGAGATCAGGTAGGAGAGGAGGACTGGGTGTCTGTGTAGCACATTTTGTGGGGCCTTCAAGTCACATCAGTATCAGGGCTTGGTCTCTACATGCCATTCCACAATTCCCTGGGATAGGAAAAAAAAAAATAGCTGAAATTATATGCCCATGAGGAAGAAGAGACAGCTCTCCCTTCCAATAAATGTAGAAGGAATAATGGAGACATAAAATCACTATTGGGCAAATATTATAGAGTAGTAATGTTGCAGGCAAGAAAGGACAGAAAAATTAATGGGCAGAAATAAAGTGTTTGCATTGTATTGGTGTCTACTCATGAGATACAGAAGGAAAGAGTGTCATTTATGGTGGAGAAACCTAGTAGACACTACCTTCACCAAATGATCAAACTTTACAGCTCCAGTAACAAGTCACCATCTCTTGATGAGGCACTAAAAGAGGCCCAGTTTCACCTGTGGTGTTCTTGTAAAATGTCAGTTGAACCAGGAGCCAGCAGTAGACAACCCCAAAGTAAAACCAAGAGACCAGTCCCCTTGTTCAAAAGGAATGTCATGAAGACAACAAAGGACCAAGTGCAATGTGAGACCCTGGGTTGGAAAAAGGATTTTCCAAAAAGCCAGCAAAATCCCAATAAGAACTGGGCACACTGGCACACGCCTGTACTCCCAGTGTCTTGGGAGGCTGAGGCAGGAGGATCATAAGCTCAAAGCCAGCCCCAGCAACTTAGCAAGGGCCTAAGTAATTGAAACCCTGTCTCTAAACAAAATACAAAAAAGGGCTGGGGATGCGGCTCAGTGGTTAAGCACCCCTGGGTTTAATCCCTGGTACCAATAAAAAGGTCTTTTTGATGAGTTAACAGTATTCTATCAATATTAGTTTCCTAGCTTCAGTGACTATACTGAAATTTGGTTTTTGAAACTGTCCCGTATTCTATCTACTGTCTGATGCTAATACTAATAGGGAAAATTTGGTGAAGGATGAATAGGAACTCTTTGAAACTAACAGCAATTACTTTTGCTATTTTTCTGTAAGTCTGAAATTATTTCAAAATAAAAACTTAGGGGACAAAAGGAGTTGGGGTCTGGAGCTAAATGGCCTGGGTTCACGATCTTGTCTCCCAGATTGCTAGCTGCATAATCCTGAGCTTTCCCAGGCTTGCCATCTCTAATCTGGGAGTGATAATAATGGCACCTACCTCATGGGTTTATTAACAGCCTAGAAGATGAACCTAGTACATTTTGTGCCAGAAAATAAAATAAGCCCTGGAAGAATGAGAGGGACATATCAAAAGACCCTAGAAGCCAGTTTGAAGAGGTTCCCACCAATCAAATTTGGAACAAGTGAACAATCAAAAAATAAATGAATCACAGATATTAATCCACCAAGTAAAATAAAACATGAAGCCATACTGATATAAATAAATTCAAAGTGTGACAGGAATGAAGTGATGACATCTCCAAGTACTAGCCTATGAGATTTTTATTAAAGAGCAACTTCACAGTGGAGAAGCCTGGCAGACATTAGAGCTTAGCTAGGTGACCGAAACAAACCTCGTCAGCAATGGATTAATTCAGTACTGAGTGCCTCTGGAGAGGGCACCAACCTCAGTGGCACTCCCATCCAAGATGCCAACCATGAGGAAACACAAACCCAAATTGTCATTCTTAGCAGTGCCACAAGGTCAGCAGACAAGACAACTGTCCTAGACCTGACAACCAAAGGCAACATGTGACACTGAACTGAGTCTTTTTGCTAAAAAAGAGACTGGAACTTTTAGCCAAACTTGAATAGGAGCCGGGCGCGATAGCGCATGCCTGTAATCCTAGCGGCTCAGGAGGCTAAAGCAGGAGGAGGGAGGCCAAAGCAAAAGGATCGTCATGTTCAATGCCAGCCTCAGCAATGGTGAGGCATTAAGCAAGTCAGTGTAACCCTGTCTTTAAGGAAAAAAAATACAAAATAGAGCTGGGGATGTGGCTCAGTGGTCAAGAGCCGCTGAGTTCAATCCCTGGTACCAAAAAAAAAAAAGTTTAATAAATGCCTAAATACCAATTATCCAGAGTTCAAATTATTCCAGATCTTTTCCTTTACAATGTTGAGACAGAGCCTTGCTGTTGCCAGCCTGGCCTAACTCCTGGGCACAAGTGGTCCCCCAATCTGAGTTGCCCAAGTAGCTGGACTATAGTACCAGTATGTCCAGCTTGAATTTTTTTCTTTTTTAAAGATGGTACTGTGGGGCTGGCGTTGTGGCTCAGTGGTAGAGTGCTCGCCTAGCATGCTTCAGGCACTGGGTTCAATCCTCAGCACCACATAAATACAATATCCACCTAAAACTAAAAAACAAATATTAAATAAAAAAAAAGATGGTACTGTGGGCTTTATTCAAAGAAAACATTGGAGATAGGTACAGGGACCAATACAGTGAGTCTTGCAGAGGGGGAACAGATTGGACCCAACCCCCACAACTGTTTTTTTCAAAATCAAGACCCAAGCAAGGTCCACACACTGTTGTGATGGGTTTCGCTCTATAGGTTCTCCCAAATTTCCCCCTCCCTCTACTCCTCACAACTCATTTGAAGAAACAGTCTTGTCTTGTTTTGGTACTAGGGATTGAACCCAGGGGTGCCTAACCACTGAGCCACATCCCCAGCCCTTTTTAAAATTTTATTTAGAGACAGGGTCTCATCTCACTGAGTTGCTAAGTACCTCGCTAATCTGCTGAGACTGGCTTTGAACTCTCAATCCTCCTTCCTCAGCCTCCCGAGTTGCTGAGATTACAGGTATACACCATCACACCCGACTAAATTGAAATTGGGTTTTTGAAACTGTCCCATATTCTGAATTTTGCTGTCATTCCCATAAACTTGCTTTGAAACAGATCCCTCAAGAATTCAAACTCACCAAAAGGTCACTCCACCAGTACTACCTGTCAGGCTCTTTATATTACTTCTAACGCCTCACAAGGTACCTTTTTGCAAACATAACCATCCTGAGAACATGTTCATGGTGACACAGCCCAATGACAGAGCTGAGGTCATCAGCCTGTGGTCAGCCTGACTCCAAAGGCCATCCTTTTCCCCTGCATGAGGTGATTCCAATCACAATATGGGGATTGAACTATGGCATGCTAAGCATACACTCTACCTCTGAGCTACATGCCCAGCTCCGATCTATTTTTATTATTTACTGAGCACTGATGGTACACTTTAAATGGATGACAAAGTAGTACAACAAACAGCTATTCCCAAAATAAAAGCTACCCATGCCTACCCAAAAATACAGAAGAGAAATAAGACTAGCCACCTACGGGAGGAGCCACTGCAATGGCTAGAATTTATTAGAAAGAAGAAACTTTATAGCATATTCTGAGTGAGTGAGTACAGAGGCTCAATGGGCAAACTGGTGAGGAACCAGCTTGTAGTGGGTTCCACAATTTGGGCATCGCTGAGTCTCGCCTTTGTGCACCCAGAACCAGATGACAGCACTGTTGTCCTCTTCACCTGAAAGGGAAAAGGGTAGTTGAAGGTCACCTAGCCTAAAAAAAGAGACTTCTAACATCCATCAACCACATCTGAGACAGAAATAAAACGATGGCTGACATCTTAAGAAATCAGTTCAAGCTTTTTTCCTATCTTTTAGATGAAGAAATGGGAGCCCCAAGTTTACCTGTGAGTAAATTGACACCAAGTTCTAATAATTTCTTTGCCTACACAGAATCCCAAAGCAGGGTCTATACTGGTATATATCCCTAGTGCCTAAAACAGTGCCTGGCCCAGAAATCATATAATGATAAGTATCATCTGGGTGAATACTACTCCATGACACACTTCCAGTGAGCAAGTCTAGTTGCTGTTCTGTACCTTTCCAATAAGTACAATATATTCATGCATGAGGCTTGAGAGAGCCAGAGCTCCAAAACAACTTATTTGCAAATCTGTCTTCTTTACACACATACAGTCACACAAAAAGATGTGAAGCAGCTAACAGACATCCTGTATAGTAGGATGCATTTTTTAAATGGACAAGAAAATAGAGATGAGGTACTTACAAATGCAACCCACAATTCGCTTGTTGGTGATGGATGGGACTAAGTTAGGGTCTTCCTTGGTGCCTGAAGCTGCCTTTGGGGCAAGTATATTGTATGGGTCCTGACAAAAAAAAAAAAAAACAAAAGCAGACCCATTATGTCAAGTGTTTCCTATAAGTCACCTTTCTAGAACCAAATAATCTCAGGAGAGAAGTCTGATCCCATTCAAGACCATAAGCCCAAAAGAGGGCAGAGGGGGAAAAAAAGGGTTTCTCACCAGTCCCTTCTTTGCAGCCATCAACACCTCCCTCTCCAGCCCAGTGGCCTGCTCATCATCAGTAGGAATACCACCTAAAGGAAGACACGTGATTTATGATGTTCACTGACATAATCAAGATTTTAATAAATACACACTGAATGATCAGAGGAAAAGGCCACACATAAACTTATGCATAAGTTTTTGTGGGTTCACAAGCTCTTAAAGGCTACCCACATCCATGGTTCCCAAAGGACCACAGTGTCACCCTCCCCCTAACGGAAGCATTTCTTCTCCAACCAGAGGCCAATATTTCGACATTTATCTAATAGGGTATCAATCAGTCCATTCGGCTAGGGGAGGCAAAGGTTTGAAGGGCGCCTCAGCCCCTGTCCCCACGACAAGGTCACCCGACACTCTCTAGTTAGGACGCTTACGCAGGTCTGTTTGGTGGGCAGTGGCGGCGATCGCCCGAAATTACTGGGAGATGCCCGCGGAGCTTGGGGCGCTGTGGGCCCTGAAGCTGTCAGTGGCGTCGCAAGGAGCTACGAAGCCAGCCCCGCTTTGCTGTCTCAGCACCAACCATCGTGAGAGAATAACGACTGGGGTCCCAGGCGCGCCCCCCGAAGAGTACCTCGAGAAGACATGGAGCGCACGGCGGCTACCCCATTAGGACCGCAGGCCCTCAGGCCCTGAGCCGCCAGAGCTCCGGCTCCGCGAAGTAACCTTGAAGCCATCACACTCGCGTCAAGTAGCTGCACTTCCGGGAAGAGATGCGAGATGGGCGGAACTTCCGGGGCGGGACTTCCCTTCTGATAGCCTTCCGCTTCCTCTGCCTGCCCGTACAGTCACGTGGGAGATGCGGAGCTGCGCGTGCGTGCTCCTTCCTCTCCGCCGCGGCCTCGGAGGTGTGGAGGATTCCACCGTCTCAACAGCGGGCCTCTTGGAATCTGGGAACTTGGTTTGGGGTCGTTGTGTGTGTGCCCACCACATTGGAATTCCTGTTTGGCCTAGTAACCGTGCTCCTGTAACTTGGACCCGCAGCAGGCCTTAGGTACGCGCCTGTCAAGACTCGCTGGACTGCCCATGATATAAATTTGGGAGTGGCCCCTTGAAGCCCACTGTGTTCTTTGTTATGCTCGTTAGTCGCTATGCCGGCTCGCCTGACCGCTCGGGAGCCATCGCGAACTTGTTGCACTGGCCCCCGCTACCAGAACTTGGACGGGACCCACCCGTTACTGTGGGAGGTACCAAGCGGTACTGGGCAGAGGTGGGACTCCTCCCGGACTAAAGGCCTTGATGACGTGCAGAGGGGGTGGCTACTCGGATGGTAGCCAAGGGAGGGGTTAGGAGGAGGAGCAGGAAGGGAAGAACAGGAAGTGGAGTCAGAACGTGCTGTGGACAGTTATTTATTTAAAATGGATTACATCTTCCATGGTTCCCCATTGCCCACAGGTAATGCACAAGTGTCTTAGCAGGATGGACACTTGAGAACCTTCGCAAAGGCTGTCCCGTCTATCCTATTGTCCAGACATCTCTGAAACAGTCTGGCTGCATGCTTTGTCTCCTGACCAGATTGAAAATCTTCAATTATGCCCTAAGGTTGAAGTCTCATTGCCTTGCAGAGACATGGCATATAAAATAATCTGTTAATTCTTAGTATATTTACTACTTAAACAATATACAGAATCAATTTATGGGGCTTCTCCTGGCCCAGTGAAGTCAATTTGAGGCAAATTGGAGAGTACTGAAGTCCCAGGTGTTCCCATCTGTTCCATGCAGGTTACTTTTTTTTTGGGGGTGGCGCTGAGGATTGAACGCAGAGCCTATGTGCATGTGAGGAAAACATTCTGTCAACTGAGGTATACCCTCAGCCCCCATGCAGGTTACATTTCGTCGCAGGAATACATGTAATTTTCCAGGGTGCTCACTGTATCAAGAAAAAATGGTTTCTATTATGAGTCCAAAATTGCTTCATGCTTTTTGAAAATGGGTTTTACTATGCGTGGTTCCCCTGTTAACTTCCTTACCTCATACTGCAGGCTCTCCAAATTAAATCCTCCCCCGCAAAAAAAAAAATCCTTAGCTCCAAGGAATGTTCCCCAAGAATCTATAGATCTATAATTGGCCTATACCTATGGTTAGGTGTTTGGTGAAGGAAGAAAGTATTGATGTAGAAAACACCTAGCTCCACCAGATAGCTCAACCAGTAGTCATTTTTTCCTTCTTTGGGCAACCATTTCTCTTCAGTAAAAACTAAGATTAGAGTAAGTATTTCCCAAAGTGGGTTCCATGGAATGCAAGTCCAAAGATACGCTATTCCGATAAAGTACTTGATCAAGATAGGAAAGTCCTGCACCTGATGACTGCCCTCTTGGATAGGTATGCTAAGCACATTAAAGGCTCTGATTAGGGGCCAGGGTTGTGGCTTAGCAGTAGAACGCTGGCCTGGCACATGGGAGGTGCTGGGTTTGATCCTCAGCACTACATAAAAATAAATAAAGGTATTGTGTTCAACTACAAAATATATATATATGTATGTATTTTTTTTTAAGGCTCTGATTAGGCCTGTGGCAAAGAATCATGTTTACTTTAGCTGTGGTTTAAGCCAAAATTTTTCTGTCTTCCCAATGAGCCTGCCCTTCAGCAGACTAGTAAACTAGGCAGCCCTGAGGTGTTAGGATTCCCTGCTGCCTCACTAGAAGACTAGGCTATAAAATGAAAATCAAGTTTAGGCTTGTTTCTTGCCTTCATAGTAGGTTTCCATAATAATAGGAAATTTTTGAAGGCCCTTGTCCAGCTCAGGGAAAACCTTGGCCTCAGTTTGAGATTATTCAGATTGTATGGGTGAACAGGACTATCAGGACCAGGCTGCAGGACCCCTGCTGCCTCCAGCTCCCACCACCCTCCTCTCACACCCCTCCCCCTAAGGTCTTCTTGAGAAATGGTTTAGCTTGGGGAACAATCTGCCACTCCTGTTCAGTCATTGTCTTTGCCAAAACAATAAACTTTTATTGAGTATTATTATTTTTTTAACTTTATAGTAATTCTTAGTTGTCAAAATAAATGCACATTGCATTAAGTCAACACAGATGTGTAAGGAAAAAACAGTTTGATGTTTGTTCTTTTTTTCCTTTCTTCATGCCAGGGTTTCTCAACCTCAGCACAATTAACATTTGGGGGCTGGAAACTCTGCAGGGGTAAGGGGGAGGGGCTGTCCTGTGTAGGATTTAGCAGCTGTGCCATTAGCACTCCCCAGTTGTAACAACTAGAAATGTCTTCAGTCATAGTCATGTGTCCCAATCACTCCTGATTAAGGATCCCTGCCCTTAAGAAATACACATATGAGGGCTGAGGCTCAGGGTAGAGTGCTCACCTGACATGCGTGAGGCACTGGATTCGATCCTCAGCACCATATAAAAATAAAAGTATTGTGTCCACTTACAACTAAAAAAAAATACATTTAACAAAAAAGAAATACACATATAGGAGGTTTCTTTAAAATATACAACTATGTCAAAGCTGGGCATGGTGGCATGTGCCTGTAATCCCAATGACTCTAGAGGCTGAGGCAGGAGAAGTGCAAGTTCAAGCCAGCCACAGCAATTTAACAAGACCCTGAGAAACTTAGTGAAACCCTGTCTCAAAATTAAAAAATAAAGGTAAGGGATATAGCTCAACACCTTGGGTTCAATTCTCAGCACCAATACAAAACCAAATATATGAATATGCATATATATAAAAATCACACATGTGTATATATGTGTATATATATGTACATATGTATGTGCACACATATATACACATATATAAACAGATGTCAAAACGTATTTGTGTGTAAATAGAAATGCAACCTATTATTAGTAAATTGCTTTTTTCATTTAACTGAACTTTTTGTGAACATCCCTCCAGATCAAATCGTAGAGCTAACATTTTATATAATCGATGCATGGTATTCCCTACTATGAATATACTGTAATGTATTCAACTTGTCCCCCTCGATGAACATTCAGACTTCTAGTGTTTTGTCTTGCAAACAATGCTGCAGTGCACGTCCATCTAGGCGCATCAGCCTGATATTCTGGAGCTTTTGTTTCTGAGGAACTGGGTCAAAGGATGTGTGTGTTAAACATTTTAATACATGGCCAGATTGTTTTCCCTAAAGTTTGGAGCAATTCATGCTCCCTCCAGTAGGGTGCGTATTTGTTCCCACCTCCAAGGAGAGAGTTACCAGGGCCTTCCGCCAAGTTTGCAAGAACTGGATAAATAAAAAAAAAAAATGAAATGCTGTTTGGCTGTGGGTGCTCAATTCCCTGACTCCTAAGGCAGCTGAACACCTTTCAAATATTTATTGATTATTTTCCTTTCCTCGGGGCTGTGAACTGTTGGGCTCAGCCACTCAGGTAAACTATCTAACCTTTTTTTGCCTTAATTTCATTTTCTTTTTGTTATTATTCTTATTGACATGTAATAATTGTACATATTAATGGAGTTTGGTGTGATATTTCCACACATGCATCCAGCATGCGCTGATCAAATCCAACTTCCTTTTATTCCCTCCCCCCCAACATACACACCCTTCCCAAACTCCAGTACTCACTATTCAACATGCAGGTCAACTTTGTTTAGCATTCGCACAGAAGACGGAACATGTGGTTCTTGTTTTCTTGTCTGGCTTATTTCACTTAAAATAATGTCCTTCAGTTCCACCCAAGTGCCTATCAGTTGTAAGTGCTCAGGAAATGTTACCTTAAAAATCATCCACTTAGGAGCTGGGGTTGTAGCTCAGTAATAGAGTGCTTGCCTTGCATGTGTGAGGCACTGGGTTTGATCCTCAGCACCACATAAAAATAAAGATATCGTGTCCATCTGCAACTAAAAAAAATTTTTTTAAATCATCCACTCAGCCAGGCATGGTGATGCATGCCTGTAATCCCAGTGGCTGGGGAGGCTGAGTCAGGAGGATCCCAAGTTCAAAGCCAGCCTTGGAAGCCAATCCTCAAAAACTAAAGGCCGATGTTTTCTCTGACATGCTAATTCACAACAAGGTGGGGGGCACTAGAGAAGAACTGAGTTACTTTAGATTAGGTAGAGGGAAGTGAAGGGGAGGAAAGAGGAGGGGAGGGGAGGGGATGTGGGGGTAGGAAAGACAGTAGAATGAAACAGACGTCATTACCGTATGTATACATGTGACTACATGACCAATATGATTCTACAACATGTACTCTCAGAAAAATGAGAACTTATATCCCATATATGTATGATATATCAAAGTGCCTAAAGCATTCTATTGTCATGTATAACTAATTAAAACAAACTAAAAAATTAATTAAAAGATAGAAGAAAAAAAAGCCAGCCTTGGCAAAGCCCTAAGCAACTTAGCA